AATATTAGAAACTAATTTTATTAAAAGGTGTTAGATGTAATTTTTGGATTTAACACATCCGAAATATTACCATATTTATGTTCTAATATTGTAGTTAATCTTAAAGTTATATTATTATTAATACACTTTATTATGGTATCATTAGATAGCTATTTATATTATATATATATTTATATTTATACCATATGAAAATGCTTCGAAAGCATTTAAAAAAAGGAATTATAATTAGTATTTTTTTTTAAATTATTAAGTTCATGACATTTGGTTCATATTTTAGAGGTTAATCATTAAGCTAATTATGTTGAGAAAATAATGTACATAAGAAAAGAAATATATTCTAAGAATCAAAAATATAAAACATTATATCTAGAAATATAATTCATAATATGATATAACATTATTGCTATTTTTCCTCTTAAACTTACATATAAAATGAGTTCCTTCATTAAAACCATGCAGAAATGACTGCAGAAAATATATTTTAATAAGATTTCTGTGAAATTACTCACATAAAAATGAAATAATCTGTGCAATGTATAAAAAAATTGTTAAAATGAATTTGTTCCTATTATATAATAATGTTTGTAAAAAATCAATATAATAATATAAATACATAGTTTATATGTTATTTTTATAAATAGTAAATAAAAATACATCGTAAATTTTTATGGAATATATTGTGTTCTTATATTGTCTTTTGTACGGATTACGCGTTTTCATGTTTTAAAAGTGATTGTAATAATTATAATGCTAATATTATACATAGAAAAATACAAAAATATATATCAAAAATAAAAAAACTTACAAACAATCAATGAATATGATATGAATTATTTATATATATAAAGTGCTATTTAACTATGTAATATTATTGAAAAATATATATCAATTTGTTGTATGCACTTATTAATAATAATTTTTGAATTAAAGTTTTTTCATTATTACAAATGTATGATTTAATTGTACATATATTTTTCTGAATATATGACATTACTATATGAAATTATATTACAAGTTATATTTCTATATGGTAGTATATAAAATAATACGATATTTATTTTTTGCGTTTATGTTTTATTTAACGCAACTTAATTTTTTTCTTTATCTTCTACTTTTTTTGGTATTAGTTAATATATGAAATATTTATAAATTATATTATTCTTGGATAAATTGTTCTAAGGACATATCAAGCTTAAAAAAATATGTATAACTTTAGCACATTGAAATTATGTCCAATATAATTATATTATATATATACATAGATCTAAATCTGATGAATCATATTTTTATCAAAAAATATTTATTTATCTTAAGACGTTATATTACTATATACATTATTTTGACTGGAGATGTAAAAAATACAAAATTATATCATTCAAATTATATCCATATTGTATACTTTAATTTAATTAGATTATAATTTACTCATTATTTATTCGCAATATAAATATTATTTGAAAATTCTAAATGTTTTATCAGCTTAATTATAAATACAAAAAATAAGATATGGGATAGTATAGCATTTTTATAATGTACTATATATTAAATTATATAATAATAACTTGCATTCATGATTAGGAATAAAAATATATTTTTAACTGAAGGAAAAATATGAATTCTCTAAATATATATGTTTGCCATAATAATCATGCAAAAATAATAGAACCTCATTAGAAATATTTTTTATTTTA